AATTGACGAATGGATGGATGGATGGGTGAATGGGTGGATGAACACATACCTGCTTCTTTTTTAAAAAATATGTTTTCATTAAATTTTAGAGAGAGAGGAAGGGAGAGGGGGAGGGATAGAAACATCCAGCTGAGCAAGAGAGGATCGATGGTGGATGGTGGGTGGATGGATAAATAGATGGATAGGTAGATAATGAATCCATAGAAGAAAATATTTGCAAACCATATATTTGCTTGGATGAACACATACCTGCTTCTTTTTTAAAAAATATGTTTTCATTAAATTTTAGAGAGAGAGGAAGGGAGAGGGGGAGGGATAGAAACATCCAGCTGAGCAAGAGAGGATCGATGGTGGATGGTGGGTGGATGGATAAATAGATGGATAGGTAGATAATGAATCCATAGAAGAAAATATTTGCAAACCATATATTTGCTAAGGGTTAATATCCAAAATATATAAGGAACTCATACAACTTAATAGTAAAAAACAAACAATCCAATGAGAAAAATGGCGAAGGACCTTAAGAGACAGTTTTCCAAAGAAGACGTGCAGCCCGGCCGGGCGGCTCAGGGGTGGAGCGCTGACCTATGAACCAGGAGGTCAGGGTTCAATTCCAACCAGGGCACAGGCCCCGGGTGCAGGCTCGATCCCCAGTGGGGGCACGCAGGAGGCAGCCGGTCCATGATTCCCTCTCATAACAGATGTTTCTCTCTCCCTCCCTTCCTCTCTGACATCAATAAACACATATTTCTAAAGAAGAAGACATGCAGACGCCAGCAGGCCCGTGACAAGGCCTTGCATCATGATCATCAGGGAAGTGCACCCCAAACCCGGGAGACACCAGCCCCCCCGCTTCCCGTCAGAGTGTCTGTCGTCAAGACAGGAGAGAACCAGCCCTGGCCGGGCAGGAGAACAGGGCCTGTGCGCGCTGGTGGGTGAAACCGGTGCTGCCACCGTGGAAAACAGTGTGACGTTTCCTCAAGCCCCGCCTGGTCACCGACCTCCCAGCCTCCTCTCCCACCACAGGGCACCGTCTGTCCTGAGCTCACACCCCCCCGCCCCAGGGCGGCACCAGGTCTTCGCCAGGCTCTACCTCGAGCACCCGGGATCCCGGGCTCGCTTCTCCTGTGCTCCTGCCTCTCGATCTTGGACTTGAGGTGCTCAATCTGCCTGCGCAGGTCGGAGATGACATCCGTGTCCTGGTCCAAATGGCAGGACATGGTCAGCAGGTTGCGCTTGACCTGGTGGCAAGACACACCCCAGGTCAGGCCAGCAGCCCCCGAGGAAACATCTTATAGCCAGGAATTTACGGCAGAAACACGCAGTCTTGCTACTAAAATTGAAACCAGCCCGGCTGGTGTTGCTCAGTGGTGAGCATCGACCTAGGAACCAGGAGATCATGGTTGGGTTCCTGGTCAGGGCATAGGCCCGGGTTGCGGGCTCGGTCCCCAGTGTGGGGTGGGCAGGAGGCAGCCGATCTGTGATTCTCTCATCATGGATGTTTCTATCGCTCTCCCTCTCCTTCTCCCTTCCTCTCTGAAATCAATAAAAACATTTGTTAAAAAAAAAATTAAAATGAAATTCAATTGAGTACTACTCAGCCTTGAAGAAGGAGATTCTGACACATCAAACATGGGTGACCCTGGGGGCATTGTTCTCTGCAAAGGAAATGAAGGGCCTAGAGGCGAGGACACTGGGTTAGGGTCAGGGAGCCCCGAGTCCAACGCCGACATTCTCACCGAGAAGAGGAGGCCCCAGGAGAGAGAACAGGAGGCTGCAGGGCCAACACAGAGCCGGCAAGTGCACCACAGCCGAGGCCCAGGAGCCCGAAGCTATGGGGGTGAGAGCGTGAGGGGCGTGCGTGCACCGCAGCTTGGGGGGCGAGAGCGTGAGGGGTGTGCGTGCACCGAAGCTCTGGGGGTGAGAGCATGAGGGGTGTGTGTGCACCGCAGGCAGGCGCTCACCCGCGTCTTGATGCTCTTGGCTCTGTGCGCGTACAGCAGGGTGCTCCTCGACTCCTCGAAGGATGTGCTGGCGGGGCTGATGTGGGCGATCATCACCGTCCGGCTGTTCCCTCCCAGGGCGTCCTGCTCAGCGGGGGCACGAGCTGGGGTGGCGGGAACAGGCTCCCCTGCCCAGTGGTGCTGTCTTTCCCCCACCCCTGCCAGGCCCGTGGGCACCGCCCCGAGGCTCCTGCTCCAAACCCTGAGGAGGGCAGCTCAGGGGTAACGCTCAGGGTGAGTGGGGTCTGTGCCAAGCCCACCCCGTCCGCCTTCCGCTCCGAGGCGAGCAGGTTAGACGGAGGCGGGTCTGCAGGGACACACCTGGCTTCACCATTTGTTTGTGTGGAGCCCGCCTGCTACAGGGCAGAGGCGACAGCATCGGCTCAGCGTGGGGACCTTCGCAGGCAGACTCCCCGTGACGTGACGGAGGCAGTGAGCTCCCTGTCCCTAGAGGTATGCAAGCATGGGCTGCACCATGCTGAGAGGGCGGGCAGTCAGGTCGTGACTAGAGATGGTTTCTACCATATTTTCCTGCCTTTGGGGGTTCCTAGAAGGGTCCTTAAACCTCACTCAGGGCCTCTCTCCTGGCTGGTAAGTCCTGGAAGATGCAGTCAGCTGTGGCAGCAGGACACACATGCACACCCATACACACATGTGCACACAGGTGTACATACAAACATATGAACACACGCCCATGTGTACACACGTGCGTGCACACACAAATACACGAACACACGGGCACACATATACCCATACGCACACATATATGTGCGCACCCATGCACACATAAGCATGTGAGCACACACATACACACATGTGCACACACATGCACACACCCGGCCTGCAGCTCGTACCTTGAGCAGGCGTGTGAGCTTGCTGTCCCTGAAGTTCACGTACTGTGTGCGGCCGCCGCCTCTCTCGCTGAGCGCGTTGATGCAGTTGCCCAGCGCCAGCAGTGAGCGGTTGATGTGCGCGCCCTCCTGCATCCTTTTGCCGCGGTTCTGGGTCTGCTCGGGGAGAGGCGGGCTGGGGGGAGATGGTCTGTGCCCCACCCGCTCCCCCCACCAGGCCCCAGGCCATACCCGTCCCCCGGATGCTCGGGCCCTGCAGGCACAGCCCAGAGGGAGGGGAGCCGTGTGCGGCGCTGGCAGGTGCCCTTCAGCATCAGGAATGAGGTAAGCGTGGGCAGGCGTGTCTGCAGCGCCATCTGATTCAGTGAGGATGCGAATGTGCGCTCACGAGGCCGCCCCGCAGCGGCGCCCCCTCATCCTCCCGACATCACACGGGGCCACAGTCCCCCTGCCCTTGTCGTCCAGGACTGGGCCCCAGGACTGGGCCCCAGGACCCGGGACAGCCCTCTGTCCTCCTGCATCTGGAATTATTCCAGCCGCAGGCCCCGCCCGCTCGCCCTGC